CTGTGGTTTAGTATAGTGTACCAAATGTAGTGGTCAAATCTCAACAAGTTATCATAAAAAGTACTGTCATTTCACATCTGAAAAATATAAAGAGGGCTAAAACTATAAAACACTGAGTTGTGCTGGTTTGCTCAAGAGTACTGTGATAAATCAGACAGGTTGACAGGAAATTCTTTATTACTCAAGACACTCACCAAGGTTCTATATTGAAAGTGCTTTCCGATCATGTAATCAATGCAAGAAAAATGAAGACTCTTCAACTGCCTCTCAGCTAGCCTTGTTTTTTATATCAACTCTACAACTATTCAAGAAATATGTGATGCAAGAAAACAGCAAATCCAATATAATCTAAACACTGAGATTATTTCCATCATGTGATGATGATGTCATATGTTAAGTGTTCCAATACTGCCACCCCCTAAAAAAGAGCTAACGAATCAAATTTTCATTTCTATAGACTACAGTAGTAATAATCACATAGAAGATAAATATATATAAAAAAAGTAAGAATACAGACAAAAGGAAGGAAATTAAAGAGAGTGGGGATTAGAAAAAAGGACACCTAATTAACAAAAGAAAAATTAAAATACACCTTCATAATGGTGTGTGAAATTGATGATTTTTTGAATTCGGACGCTTGGTCAATATGCACCACTCAGTGAAAAGGGTGAGCAACAAGTGGCCAGCTTTCAGAGTTTAACAGCTGCTAGAAAAGGATATGAAACAATGTTTTCATATCTGATCTTTCTCTGTAGCTGTATCTAAGCAACTATGACAAACAATGCTTTTATCTGCCACTTGGTGGCAATATGCACACATTTATGATTTTATTCATTTCCTAGTTCAAACAATTAGTCTTTATTTTCAGAGAATGATTCAACAACTTTTTCCTCCAATCCTGAGATGAGGTCTGGAAAATACCTTAGAGATTCAAAGAAGCCTTTTTATTCAGCCCAGTATATAAAGTAAGTTAGGTTAGAGAAAATCCAAACACATCATTTACATGATCTGACCATCTTTGCAGAATCATTACTCTTTGATGATTATTCAATTCAAAAGCATCAAAATAGGAACTTTTTGCACACCACAGTGACCTCAATTAACACAGATTCTCAGTATGACTTTGGAATCATAGTCTAATTGTCTAAACGGTCTTACTGATGTCCCAACAGCATCACTAGCACCTTCACTACAGCTTCACTGCTTCCCTGGACACAAAGCTGAAGGAATGTTAACACGTCAAATGGCATTTCCTAACTTTAACGGAAATTTTCCTCTAGACAAAATAATCTTTATAAAAGTTTATTTCTCAACCGGGAAAGACCCTCTTTAATGCAAAAGTAAAACTAACCATTGCCATAAATGGGATACTGGATGTGTCATGCAAATAAATATTCATTATTAGGCACAAAAGTTAACATCAAGAACAACTTAAAATTTTAGGATAAAATTTCCTGACTAAGTATTTCTAGCATCATTCACTGGAAGTTATTTTATATGCCAAGAGTACTGTGGTCTATGTCCCCGGGTTACCTCACGCCTTACGCCTCAGCAGCTTTTCAGAAATGCCTGTATCTAGACCAACAAGAAAGCAAGCAGACCTCCTCTTCCCACTGCGCCCTCCACCGATGAGTAAGGGGCAAGAGCTCTTCCAGGAAGAAGCCTCGCCAGTTATCCAGCAGGCTGGACTCCATTAGCAGTCCCTTATTACTCACATTTTTTTTAAAAAAAGTAATATTGTAAAAACAATGCATGTCTACTCTGCAAATTTTAATAATACAAATAAGTTAAAATAAAGGAAAGTGGTTACTCCGAGCTTTTCATCATTTTTCTTCATTCTTTGGAGTCTAGGATTCTTCAAGCCTTCTTTGGACTGGGGTTTTAGATTAGCCAGGCCAGGCCCAAGTAACAGAAAGAAATCGAAAAGAAAGGGAACCACAATAAAAGATATATATAGCCTATTTTAACTTGATAAGCCACTATAGCTTTGTACTCATGTTTTTAACAGTAACTAATAAACAGGAACCTTATCTGGACTTATACATAATTTTTTGAGTAGCCCCTCCCCTCTGTTGTCACCACTGGCCCTCAGCTTTCCACCATAGTATTAAATGACATAGTGATTTTTAAAACTCCCAGTAAAGAGCCTTTTGCATAGTACCTAGAACATAACAGGTCATCAGAATTAAAGAATAAATGAGCTAATGAATGAATCCAATTGTACTAAAATGCATTTTCAAAAATCCAGAGAAATAAAAGCAACACTGCCCAAGTTGGCAGCTATACAATAAACACATGTCTATCCATATTTCCATTAGATTCAGCCCAGTCTCACTCAGGTAATGGTAAAGGGGATAATCCTAAACAAAGCTAAGGTTACAAAGTTTGTGTTCTTAGGCATCTTTATCTTCTCCAACCTCAAGACCAACTGTAGATAACCAACACTCAAACACCAAGTGGAAGGCTATGAAAATTAGGGCAATGAAGAGAATAAGAAATTTGGAATTATAGACCCAGGAGTTCCAATCCTGGCTCCACCTATTCCTAACTAAAGTGAATGTGGGCATATTTAAACTCTCTGATCTTTAGCTTCATCACTCAGAACGCAGATAATAACACGTCTGCTTTACAAGACTATTCTGAGGATTAAACTTTAAAAACATTTGTAAGAAATTTCTAGAACAACGTCCACATTGTGACTGGAACTGAGTAAAGAGAAACTGTTTCTTCCTCAGACTTACTATGAGGTGCAAGGCTGGCCTTTCTAGACTCATCTCAAGTAACGAGGGTATTGACTTGTTCTGTTTTGCTTAGAAAATACAGACGATCTGCTATGTACACACACTCAATTTCATTATTGGGAAAAAAAACCCACTGAATTTCCAGTACCAACTTCATGAAAAAGGAGGCCACTGATGAGGATTTTAGGCTGGTTACTTTTAAAACTGCGGATGAGAAGCAGGCTCCGAGGACTGGAATTTTGCTTGCCCTTCTGAGAGACATTTGCGTTTGTGAAGGAAGGGAGGCTGACCTTGTAGGGACCCGAAATTGGCCACCCCAGGATATGTCTCTTTGGCATCAGGATTGTTTTGGGCTGATTGCTTTCGATAAACTGGGACAGGGAAGGAGGCTCTGGGGAATGGAACTTGCCCTTGTTGGGACACATTTACATTTGTAAGGTAAATCTCTATCTGTAGAGGGTGCCTCCCTCTCTGTACCAGGAAGAGGAGGAGAGATGACCTTGTCCCTAGAAGCTCTTAATGTGGAAGGCAAGAACTTAAGTTGGTTGCTGTCTGGCAATCTCATGTAACTGGTTTAGGGTGGTGGCGTCTAACCTTTCTAACCTTTACTTGATCCGATTTGATTCTTGTCTAAAA